GGCTTTAGGGTTTTAGGGTTCTAGGGTTTTAGGGTTTAGGCCGGTTTAGGGTTTAGGGGTTAAGGTTTAGAGTTTAGGGATTCGGGTTTCAGGATTAGGGTTTAGGGGTTAAGGTTCAGGGTTGGGGGATTCGGGTTTCGGGATTTGGGTTTAGGATTTAGGGTTTAGGGTTTCGATGCAACACCCTTTACCACAGAGGCAGTTGGTTTCTGCAGCGGAATTGATTGCCAAGCTCGGCCAACTGGATCAACCGGGATGTTGCTAAGGGAGGCGAGCGCTAGCAACAGTGTCATTTGGTGCTTCGGGCTGGTGTTGTTGCTGCACGCATTCAAGGCCCACCAAAACCTAACACAAAGCACAAGCTGGCATAACATAACAGAACATTGCATAGCATAAGATAACACAATGCAGCATAACGTAGCACAGCCAACATGGCATAATACAGCATACACACTAAATCAGCATAAGTGCGTTTTTCGTGTATGTACCGTTCATATTTTGCTTTGTTACCGAAGTCACCACTACTTCCAGGGCTGGTATGATCTATATCTGAACCCGGTGAACTAAGTCCCCAGTGCCGTCAAACTTCGGAGCCCGAACCCAGGAACCGCCTCAAGGCTTTGGAAGCCCTGAACCCTGGACCCATATCAATTCATGAAGCTCTTTGTGGACTCCAGATCAGACGTTTCTGAAACCCCAAAGCCTGAAACCCTAAACCATGTTGGTAAATCCTGTAGGAATTGAATACTCCCTGACCCCAGCATCAGGCGAAAGCGACCGGAGCATCAGCGCCTGGCGCGCGTGGCTGGCAAAGGACGCTCGGGGATGAGGGTCAGCGCAGGGATTTGTCAGGGATTTGAAAGGGCTGCATCAGCAGGGTTCTGGCTTTGATATTTGTGTCAGGGTTCTGGTTTTGGTGCAGGGTCTATACGGATCTTAACAAGGAAGTTGTAGGGTTCTGCAATCGGCTTTATGTGGTTATTGCCCATCAGGGGATAAAAAATGGTTTGCCAAGGGGGGGGTTCAGGTGCTCAGGGATTTAAAAATTGAGGAGTGTCGGTTTGGGTTTAGGCATGTTTATTTAGTTTGAGGGTTCAGGGTATTCTGAGAGGGTTTTGCGGTTGAGGGCTCAAGAGGTCTTGGATTCAGGTGCGTGCTGCTGTATTTCCCCGGCTTGCGGACTTGCTCGAGCTCAAATGAACTCTCCATTCATATCGTAGGATTGTAGTAGCTTCGGTAGATGCTGTGTGATTGTTCAGGAACCTGCAGAATCCACCTTCAGTTCTGAGCCATCAGCTCTATGATTGCTGCCCACTCTTCAATTAGGGGAATTTGAAGCGCCGTTTCTACGCAGCAGCCCATCCAGCCCCCTCACCCCCGTTTTGTCGTGAGGAGGGCGCACGCTGTGTGGATCCGGAGGTGGGCTTAGCAGCTCACATGACATCGCCGAAGGAACTGTCAACAAACTTCCCACTCTCGCAGCACACGCTTAAAGTTTTAGGTGTAGCCATAAACCTGACACCCTTTCCACAAACCCTAATGTAGGGCCTTAATAGTTAGAATATGGGTTTGGTTTTGGGAGTTCCTTATTATCACTACAGTAGAATATACCCCAAACCGTATTCTAGTTATTCAGGCCCCTACATTAGACTGCACTTCCCCTTCTTCTGTATTTTGATCAGTGTACCATTGCCTGTGTCTTAGCATCTTCCCAAGAGAGGATACACCTAGGACCTTTCAAACCTAAAGACGCATAAAACCTTTTGGTAGAACCTGTGAAGGGGTTTGGGGTTTAGGGTTTTGGGTTTCATCGGCCAGCCTTAATGAATATAGTGGCCTCCAGAATGAGAATAGGGGCTTGGTCCATAATGCTCTACGGTTCTTCAGGAGTCCAACGGGAGATGAGTAAATTGCTAATTATTCGGGCCTCTGTACTACACAGACACACACAGACGCACGCAGAGATCCGACGTCTTAATGCCCGAAAGCCTTCAACCGTGACTTCCTGAAAATCATGCCGCTTAATGTTAATGTTTGTGTGGGATTCTAAGCACGGCGCCGAGGACACCTGGTCTAGAACAACCCCTTGCAAGCCTACTGTTGCGGTAGAGATCTGCTGTACCCAGAGAGTTCAACAGCATCCCTTGTTCAAAACAGCATAGCTTAAATCATCATCTCGAGTTTCGTACCTGAGGGATATTCCGTGTTTAACGGGTATTGGAGTGGAGGGTGTAAGTCTACAAGGACACTACTGCAAGCCATCCATTTGCCCACGGCAAAACCCGGCACAAACGAAGAGTGCAGAACGTAACAGGTTTTCGAGGTTGTGGATGTGGTCGGGGTGGACGTTCTCGTGCGTGCTGACATGTGCTGTGCGGTCATGGTGAACGTTATGGTTGCCGACACGGCTTCGCCGTCACTGTTTATGCTGGCCTTTTTGACGTTGTGATTGCTGATGCGCTAAACCCATAAAGCACTAAACGCCCTAACCCCTAACCCCTAACCCCTAACCCCTAAACCCAAACCCCTAAACCGTAGCCTAAACCCTAAACCCTAAACCCTAAACCCGAACCCCCCTAAACCGCTAACCCCTAAAAACCCATGAAACACTGAACCCTAACCCCCTATAAACCCTAAACCCTAAACCCTAAACCCCAAAAGCCCATTGAAACACTGAACCCTAACGCTGCTCTTCTCTGCAGAACCAGCTGCCTCCATCTCCGATGTCCCGGGAGGCCGCCTGAAAATCCCATCCGGTCGCGGCGGTTTCTGAGTTCTCCAACACCGTTTAGGGTTCAGGGTTTAGGGTTTAGCGTTCAGGGTTCAGGGTTTAGGGTTTAGGGTTTAGGGTCGCCCTCAAAGGTAGAGGAACCCTTAAAGGAGCCCTGTTTGTAACCCTTCTAGAACCCATGAAACGAACCCTTACGCTCCGAGTTTTCAAGACTGCCGAGGTTCATGTTGTTAAGTTGTTAATAGTAAGCCCGAGACCCTAAACCCTAAACCCCTAAGCCCTAAGCCCTAAACCCCAATCAAAAGCCTGCCTACTAAGTCCCCTTTAGGCTTTAGGGGGCTTAGTCTTAGTGGAGACCCATCTCTTGCTTCAGGGCTGCTGGAGTCTCGGGGTTCAGGAGCTAGGCCCCCCCCCCATTGGGTTTAGGGCTTTTTAGGGTTTAGGCCCCCTCCAAAGGCATGAATGAAGGAGCTACTGTACGGGGTCTATGGGAGCTTCTATGACATTGGGTCGGGGCCCTGTTTTGGGGTACGTATAGAGATTGTAAAGGGCATACTGATACTGGCCCTTTGCTGACGGGTATTTTGGGCCGCTACCATTGCCCATTTTTGCCGTAGACTTTCCTAAACCCTAAACTTTACCCTAAACCCTAAACCCTAAACCCTAAACCCTAAAGCATGTACCCTAAACGGTAGCTCTGCCCTAGCCCTGCCCGACTGGTCGAGAGGAAGAAGGCACGGGCTGGAAACCCGAGCAAGGTTTCAGTCTCTGCTGCGCGCTTTTTAGGGTTCAGGGTTTAGCGGTTTAGGGTTTTAGGGTTTAGGGGTCAGGGTTTGTGGTTTTAGGGTATAGGGTTTAGGGGTTAGGGTTTAGGGACTGCATCACCACTACCATCGCCAGCACCAGCA